TTTTTTTTTTTTTTTTTTTTTTTTTGTTACAGGTTTAAAGTAGCATCGACATCGAGGTCGACTTATATTTTGTAGTATAGATATACTGTTATATATTTTGTAATATAAATATACTGTTATATATTTTTTAATATAGATATACTGTTATATATTTTGTAGTATAGATATACTGTTATTTGTTTTGCAAATATATAACAATATAGGTATACTGTTATATATTTTTTAGTATAGATATACTGTTATTTGTTTTGCAAATATATAACAGTATAGGTATAGATATATTATTATATATAGCATTATATAGTATATATTTGTAGTATAGATATACTGTTATTTGTTTTGCAAATATATAACAGTATAGGTATACTGTTATATATTTTGTAGTATAAATATACTGTTATATATTTTGTAGTATTGATATACTGTTATATATTTTGTAGTATAGATTTACTGTTATATATTTTGTAGTATAGATATACTGTTATTTGTTTTGCAAATATATAACAGTATAGGTATACTGTCATATATTTTGTAGATAGATATACTGTTATATATTTTGTAGTATAGATATACTGTTATATATTTTGTAGTATAGTTATGTTCATCAAATATTGGAGTGTTCTCTTCAGATGATTTTCGGAAGTCAAGACGAAGATGAAATCTTCTCTACTGAAGATAGGTGTTTTGGTTTGTCCCATACTTAAAAGTCTCAAGTATAATTCCTTTTTTTTTTCTTTTTTTTGTTAATCTGCTAAAAGGAATTTCTTCGTCCGATTGACATCGTTCATTCATCCTTGATGTTGGTTTTTACTTAGTGTGTAAGTTCTTGATATGAGACAGGAGTCTGTGATTTCTATACTTATTAATGTACAGACTGTTGCAGTACTTACTAAAAACTAATTGTAACTCCATTTTGCCTTAATATACAATGCTTGCCGATTTGTCCTCGGTCAAAGTATGTACTTTAGAACGACTAATTCCTCAACAACACTCAAGAATCGTTCGAACAGAGGAGAGCATCTGTCGCGGCGAGAGATCCGCGCATTTTCTACTTTTTCACCTGTCCCGAGGAGAGGAACCGCGAGATTTCTTT